GGTTTAGCTCTACAGGAAGCTGTGGAGTGACCTTTGCATTTATGGAAGGCGCAGTAAATTTCATCCTTGTCATTGGTAACTGCAACTTGCGAACGAGAATTCTGTTTACGTGCAGATCTACAATTCCAAATTTTAGCCGCTGTATCAACCAATTCGTCAACAGGAGCATCCGACCTTATCATCACCATTTCACGTAACCCAAGAGGAAGCGACTGCAAGAAAATCCTCGTGATCAGCTCTTCAGCATTACCCACGGCTACTGGATAATCTCTCAAACCTTGATAGACGTAACCTTGAATTTCAATATACAAATCTTGAGGAGATTGATGAGGAGCTAATATAATTTCATTCAAGAAACGGAAAAAGTCTACAGAAGTGCTTGTACCACGGAATTTCTTTCTACTAGATTTTTGAAATCTTGCCAAGTAACTACATTTTCAAAGAGAGGAGAATTATCACCAGCTCTGCAGCTCCCTTGCAATGTAACCTAGCTGCGTTTATTAATGTTGCATCATCTTTTACTCTCGTAATTAGCTCTATTTGTCTAAGCCAGTACTCAACTTCCATGTTTCTCTTAAGGGGATTTGATGCAGGAGTACGAGCTTCAAAGTAAGGTACTGAACTTTTCTCGAGTACACATTAGGCAAAGGTGATGGGAGGGGTGTTGAACTTGCAAACTCTTTATGCGCGTTCGCAATTTCTAAACAAGCACTGAGATTTTCGTTCTCCTTTTGTAAATCACTTAACTTTTTCTCAAGTTCTTTACACTTGTTCATCACTTCTTCGTATTTATCATCACTCATGTCTAGTGACTTATAATTCCTATTGCGAGTTTTTCTACCCATGATAAATGTCGAGCGAACAATCTAAGTATCAACAAGACAAATTTTCACCGAATGAAGTTAAACTAGTTTAGTTATATACCGAGATCATACGAAACGAAATACAATAAAGTACTAATACCGCCACCAAAAGAATTATCGACATACAAAGTTAACACAGCAACATGCAACAATGCAACAATGCAAACCCAAGAGTATCAATGCAATGAGACGAGAGAGAGAACAGCGAGCACAAAAGGAAGAGACTAATAACACTTGACTTGTACATTGATCAGAATATAAGAAAAATCAAATAAAGTAGAAGTTATCAGCATTAAAGTTAATATAACTGCAATATAATTGCAACAAGAAAATGCGCTAGAAAGCACGTTAGCCAAGGCTATTTCAGCTTATAAGCTATTCAAGAAAGCTAACAAGAATTAGAATGTATTAAATGAATTAAATAAAGTACAAACCATACAAAGAGCCAAAATAAAGCAAAGCGCTTGTAACCTTATCTTACCGCTGCAACACCAGTTTGTAGTATATCAGAAAGCAAGGTGGTAGGCGTGGCAAAGTTCATTCATTTATAAAAGATTATTATTTCTTATTTGATAGTAGAAGTTAATTATTTATCTTTTTCATATAAGTAAGATTTCCAGGAGGCTCCAGGTTACTAGAATTTATCTTGTATGGTAGTAAAAAGAAAAAAGATATTAAGTCAAGATACGTATATTTTCTTTAGAACTCGTCTCAAATCAGAAATATATATTAGGATTTCCCCACACGCTTACAATAATTGTCGTGGGACAGGACAGGACTCGGACAACAGTGGAAGCAGTAGTTGCCTCGCTCCCTCTCTCTCTGGTTTGTCTTGGCGGAACGAGGGGTATATATACGGGTAATTCCCGCCACTTCCAAGACGGCGCGGACTTGTTTGCCTACTCGTTTGCATACTCGAATTGGCGGACTGCGTCTTGAGTATTGTTACGGCGCTTTTTGCTTGTTCTTGTTCACTACATTAGGTTAGGTTAGGTTAGGTTAGGTTAGGTTAGGTTAGGTTAGGCTCAAATTTAACCAGGAGACTCCAAATTTCGTTTTCTCACATAAACTTGATCGTAAATCACTCTAATCCACGATAGGTTACAGTACCTGCAATTTGGGGAGGTTAGGTTAGGTTACGTTGGTTAGGTTAGGGTTAGGTTAGGTTAGGTTAGGTTAGGTTAGGCTCAAATTTAACCAGGAGACTCCAAATTTCGTTTTCTCACATAAACTTGATCGTAAATCACTCTAATCCACGATAGGTTACAGTACCTGCAATTTGGGGAGGTTAGGTTAGGTTACGTTGGTTAGGTTAGGTTAGGTTAGGTTAGGTTAGGTTAGGTTAGGCTCAAATTTAACCAGGAGACTCCAAATTTCGTTTTCTCACATAAACTTGATCGTAAATCACTCTAATCCACGATAGGTTACAGTACCTGCAATTTGGGGAGGTTAGGTTAGGTTACGTTGGTTAGGTTAGGTTAGGTTAGGTTAGGTTAGGTTAGGTTAGGTTAGGCTCAAATTTAACCAGGAGACTCCAAATTTCGTTTTCTCACATAAACTTGATCGTAAATCACTCTAATCCACGATAGGTTACAGTACCTGCAATTTGGGGAGGTTAGGTTAGGTTACGTTGGTTAGGTTAGGTTAGGTTAGGTTAGGTTAGGTTAGGCTCAAATTTAACCAGGAGACTCCAAATTTCGTTTTCTCACATAAACTTGATCGTAAATCACTCTAATCCACGATAGGTTACAGTACCTGCAATTTGGGGAGGTTAGGTTAAGGTTAGGTTAGGTTAGGTTAGGTTAGGTTAGGTTAGGTTAGGCTCAAATTTAACCAGGAGACTCCAAATTTCGTTTTCTCACATAAACTTGATCGTAAATCACTCTAATCCACGATAGGTTACAGTACCTGCAATTTGGGGAGGTTAGGTTAGGTTACGTTGGTTAGGTTAGGTTAGGTTAGGTTAGGTTAGGTTAGGTTAGGTTAGGCTCAAATTTAACCAGGAGACTCCAAATTTCGTTTTCTCACATAAACTTGATCGTAAATCACTCTAATCCACGATAGGTTACAGTACCTGCAATTTGGGGAGGTTAGGTTAGGTTACGTTGGTTAGGTTAGGTTAGGTTAGGTTAGGTTAGGTTAGGTTAGGCTCAAATTTAACCAGGAGACTCCAAATTTCGTTTTCTCACATAAACTTGATCGTAAATCACTCTAATCCACGATAGGTTACAGTACCTGCAATTTGGGGAGGTTAGGTTAGGTTACGTTGGTTTAGGTTAGGTTAGGGTTAGGTTAGGTTAGGTTAGGTTTTTAACCAGGAGACTCCAAATTTCGTTTTCTCACATAAACTTGATCGTAAATCACTCTAATCCACGATAGGTTACAGTACCTGCAATTTGGGGAGGTTAGGTTAGGTTACGTTGGTTAGGTTAGGTTAGGTTAGGTTAGGTTAGGTTAGGTTAGGTTAGGCTCAAATTTAACCAGGAGACTCCAAATTTCGTTTTCTCACATAAACTTGATCGTAAATCACTCTAATCCACGATAGGTTACAGTACCTGCAATTTGGGGAGGTTAGGTTAGGTTACGTTGGTTAGGTTAGGTTAGGTTAGGTTAGGTTAGGTTAGGGTTAGGCTCAAATTTAACCAGGAGACTCCAAATTTCGTTTTCTCACATAAACTTGATCGTAAATCACTCTAATCCACGATAGGTTACAGTACCTGCAATTTGGGGAGGTTAGGTTAGGTTACGTTGGTTAGGTTAGGTTAGGTTAGGTTAGGTTAGGTTAGGCTCAAATTTAACCAGGAGACTCCAAATTTCGTTTTCTCACATAAACTTGATCGTAAATCACTCTAATCCACGATAGGTTACAGTACCTGCAATTTGGGGAGGTTAGGTTAGGTTAGTTGGTTAGGTTAGGTTAGGTTTTAGGTTAGGTTAGGTTAGGCTCAAATTTAACCAGGAGACTCCAAATTTCGTTTTCTCACATAAACTTGATCGTAAATCACTCTAATCCACGATAGGTTACAGTACCTGCAATTTGGGGAGGTTAGGTTAGGTTACGTTGGTTAGGTTAGGTTAGGTTAGGTTAGGTTAGGCCAAATTTAACCAGGAGACTCCAAATTTCGTTTTCTCATAAACTTGATCGTAAATCACTCTAATCCACGATAGGTTACAGTACCTGCAATTTGGTTAGGTTAGGTTACGTTGGTTAGGTTTAGGTTAGGTTAGGTTAGGTTAGGTTAGGCTCAAATTTAACCAGGAGACTCCAAATTTCGTTTTCTCACATAAACTTGATCGTAAATCACTCTAATCCACGATAGGTTACAGTACCTGCAATTTGGGGAGGTTAGGTTAGGTTACGTTGGTTAGGTTAGGTTAGGTTAGGTTAGGTTAGGTTAGGTTAGGTTAGGCTCAAATTTAACCAGGAGACTCCAAATTTCGTTTTCTCACATAAACTTGATCGTAAATCACTCTAATCCACGATAGGTTACAGTACCTGCAATTTGGGGAGGTTAGGTTAGGTTACGTTGGTTAGGTTAGGTTAGGTTAGGTTAGGTTAGGTTAGGTTAGGCTCAAATTTAACCAGGAGACTCCAAATTTCGTTTT